GGCTCAGTTCAACCTTTTAGTATTCCAACACAAAACCCAGTGACTTTCAGCACAGGGAGAGCAGTTAACATATGGTTTGAGATTAAAGGGCGTTTCCATGATCAGAGAAAGTGTGCTGAAAATGGACTATGGAAGCCTGGGTTCTGGTGCTCCAACTGGCTGGGTAACCATGGGAAATAATTTGATTTATTTTTAGATTTTCTCTTCAATAAAACAATAATTTGGCTAAGTAATTTGTGTTCCACTTAGTTCTAGTATTCTGTGATTTATTTCGGTCACTTTCAAATGTAGAATCCCAGACCAGCTGATTGTCATAATTCTTGTTCATAATTTTTATTTTAGCCTTATTGTGAGAATACTTCATTTATTCAGCTATATAGACAGTAGAGAAAGTTAAAGTTTCAAACATACAAACCTACATGTATAGTGTGCCTGATTATAAGAAAAACATGTTATTATAATATGATCATATAAAAATGGTATCTGCTTTACCCAAATAAAGAATAAAAAAAAAATAGAGGGGAAAATTGAATATTTATTTAATGGATCTGTTTATAGACATAGATATATATTGAATGCAGTTAAATAGCAAAAAAATAGCTTGCTGATATAATTATTTATACATATTTTAATAATGTTATATAAAATATTCATTAATATAGTCATATCCTTTCACTCTCAAAATTTGAAAGAAAACTTTCTTCAGACTTTTCACATGTATGGTTAACAACATGTCTATCACTATAGCCATATTTTGAATCACAGATAACCATATTATAAGTTACATCATCTTCCATCTATGTTGTTTGAGAAATAGCATTTTAAAAATCTGTGTATGATGCTGTCATTTGAAATATGGTTATCAAAGCACGAGGACCCACATGTGTCTTGCTGTTGTCTGTTTTTAGGCTTTTCTAGATGGATAAATGTTACGTCCACAATGCCACCTCTGACTAGACTTAAATAAAGAGAGTGACTAACAAGGTTATGTTTTATACACATGGGGAAACTGGGGCTGAGGAATTCCTAAATCATTCAAGCTCTGTCTGATCTCTGATTCTTATTTATTTCATTAAAATATACTGGTATTTATATAAAGATGACAAAAATTGCTTTAGCTTTTCCAGTGTCATATACCTAGATATATAGCCTCGAATTTTCCATTCCACCAACCTGTATGACGATAACCAAATTTTGTGGTGTTTTGGCTGTGGATGCTTAATTTTTAGTGATGTACCTATCCTTCTGGTATTTGGGGACTCTGAGATCACATATGCAAAACTTTTTGCTTTGTCAGTAAAATAAAAACCAAATCAGTAACTTCAAGCCCACCAATTTCCCATGACTAGACATGATCAAACCTGATCATGATGAAAGATCAGCTCAAATGTATTTGTGCTGAATTATTAATGTACATGTTTACACACATTATTTCTTACCTTTGAGTAACTATGTTTAATATATCTAGATTTTCCATATCCAGTTATTCTGTGTGCTGTAAATCCTTTATCTGTTAAACATGGCTCTGAATTTAACAACTATATGATGATTTCAGTTAGTGGTATAAGAAAATATTATGCTGATCTCTGTTATAGTCAAAACAAATGTTCAAATTCTATCTGAAAGAGAAAAATACAAATTTTAGTAATTATGAATTATTTTCATCAATATAAATTTGCTTTGGAAAATTTCAATGTTGATAGCTACTATAATCTCAATGAGCACAGAACATTCCTGCCTTTTCAAAAAAATTTTTAAATAGTATTATGGGTTGATGTGATCCCTTCTCTTCCCCATTTCCTATGTTGAAGCCTAGACCTTATTTGGAGATAGGGCCTTTAAAGAGATCATTAAATTGAAATGAGGTCATTAGGATTAGCTTTAAGTCAATATGACTAATGTCCTTATAAAAAGGAGAAATTTGGACATAGACACAGATTTAGAGGGAGAATGATAGGAAGACACAAGGAGAGGATGGCCATCTACAAGCCAAGGAGGAGACCTCGAACAGATCCTTCTTTCACAGCCTTCAAAGATCAACCCTGCCAGCACCTTGATCTTGGACTTTCAGTCTAAAGAACTGTGAGCCAATAAATTTCTGTTGTTTAAGCTACCCAGTCTGTGGTCCTTTGTTACAGCAGCCTTAGGAAAGTAACACAGGACCATTTTGGAATGTTTGTTTATGTATATCTATGGAAATGGACTTTATTTCCTTTGCTAGAATGCATTTTTTTTAGTTTCATTATTATAACTGTACAAAATATATAGCAGTTATGGATTTCTTTCTGCTACAAATATATTTTTCTACATATTTTCTCAATATTCTATTCTTTTTAAATGTTTTAATATTTGGAATCTTCTATTAGATATTGTAAGAGTATCTTAAAAAATCAGCTAACAATGTTAAGGGAGGGCAACTTTAACAGGTTTATTTTATTCTGTTCATAAGAAATATTTAGTATTTCTACTATTTCCAGTGTATAAGTGTCATTTTTTTAACAGAGTAATTTTATAATTTCAAAAGAAATCACATCTAACTTTCTGCAGAATGGATGGGGATTTATCTTTAAGACACTGTTATGAAAGTTGCTGTATTAGTGAAAATTACAGAATTCTTATCATTGTGCTTATTAGTAATAGGCTTGATTCTCCCAAAGCATATTCTTTTGTCTGTAGGTAATGCTGAAGAGCTTCCTATGTAAAAGGAGAGAGGAGAAAATAAAGAAGAAGGTTATCAGTCAGAAATAACATACCTTTGCTCAAGAAGGAAATTGTGGAGCTTAGGAAAGTATAAAAAGTTATATAGCATTCATAACTTTTCAGAGGTGAACTACAAATCTATGGATTTTTCAAACCATGCTATTTGCCTGTATTTACCTTACAATGAACTGTGGTTTGCATCACTGAAAATCAGATATGTAGGGCTTGCTTGAATCCTTTGGCTGGTTCTTTTTCTAAATATATCCATTAAAATTGGAACATTTTCTTCAAAACATGCTTGGAAGTTTGGTGGAGGTTGTTGAACATGGATAGTTTGGTGGAAATTCTGGAAAAATAGAACAATTTTAAAATAATAGAAAATATCACTTAAATAACTACCTAAAAATACTTGTTAACTAGTTGAAATGCTCTCAAAATTTACTTTTTTGTTCTTTCTTGTTTTCCAAGTGTTTATCTGTATTATGCCAAGGGATGGCATTATAAACAGAGTGCATTAGGACATTTTAGCCTATTTCAAATGGAAGCAGGCTTGAAAGCAGGGTTGCATGTATTTCCCAAGCTACAGGGTGCCTCCTTCTATGTAAGAAGCTAGATTAAGATAATTCCAGGATCACAGTCACAAAAATGTTTACCAAGTATCTAAAAATTTTAAGGATAATCTGTATTTTCTTGGATTCTGTTTGTTTGGTGAGTTTTCCAAGTTTGGAAAAAAGAGGGATAATTTTATTGACACTTTCCATCGTACTGTGAATATAAGGGGTTCTTAAAAACCAAATGGGAACTAAATGAATCTTTTCATTACATTGTAGTATATGCTCACCATATGTCTTTGGTATCTTAAACTGAGGCCTATTTTGGGTATTAAAAGTTGTTTGCAACCTTCCTTTGATAAATACCATGATTAAAAAATTGTTAAAGAGAATAAAAGTGGCATAGTTGTAAGTAATAGTTGCATAGTTCAGAGCTGGATGATTTAATTGATCATAATACATTTATTTTAACCTCTTGAGTTATGGAAGAATGGTGTAAATTGAGTTGAAATAACGAAATGAAGATGTAGCTTCTAAAATGTTGGCTGAGACTCTTTGCTTCTGTTAAAAATTAGATTTTCAATTATTAATAGACTATTTTATCCAAAGAAATAATACATATGCATGATTTGGTTTTATCTGAAATTTGCTTTTTACAATTTGTAAGCCACTTTGAAGTGACTTCTGTGATGCAGACAGTATGGTGTGGTAGATAAGGTAGAAGAGTAACATAGCTTAATAGGGCATGGCTCTGATTTTTCTCATATAAATAATATGTTCCTCAACAGATTCTGTAGTATAAAGGCCATAAAAATTCACAGTAGTGTATTTCTGTTCTACTTCGGAGGAGTTCCAATGTTTTACCATTAATCTGAACCTCAGTTTCATCAATATAAAAGAGCTGTTATAAAGATTAAATGTTAGAAATTCATATTTAGTTCAGAGGCTATGGAAGGAAATGATAGCATTTTTATTATAATTCAGCAAATATACATTTGTCCATTTACTGCTGAAGTTGAAATTGATAAATGTTAGTAACAGTAACACTGTGGAGACTATTCTAAAAGATACAAGTGCATATTTATAGCCATTATGGTCCCCAGGGGACTGGTACATGCATATATCAGAGCAAGTCAGGGTAGATCTGCCAGTCAATTCATGGGATTTATCCTTTAATCCAATGGTGTACTCTGTGACCCTCCTTGGCCTTTGGTATCCATAAAAGGACTATATAATAAAAATGTAAAATGAAATTTAAATACATATAATAAGAAAGAAAAAAAAAGGAAAACTATCTCTAAAACAGCTGCTTGCTTGCATTGTCTCTTGCCTGTGCACCATCCCTTTGAGAATCCAAACTGTAGCAGATACTTTCACTTAAATCTGTATTCATCTTAATGCTTGCTGATGAACTTGCTAGTGAGGGCTACTTAGAGATAGTGGTTTTGGGGAACACTGATGATCAGAGACCAAATCCAGGCCACTAAGTCAGTTTGTAAAGGCCAGTAAGGAGCAGGAGAATGGAAATTACTTTCAGATACTACTAATCTGCACCAGGTTTGCATTGGGAGCCTAGCAATAAAAGGTTCTGTATCTTAGTACTCATCACTTGAGTCACTTGTTCCCCTTGTTCTTTAATTAACTCCTGTTAATTTAAAGAGCGCTTTTGGAATGGTTTCACTTAAGAATAGGAAATGATGATCTTCATTCAAATCTTTAACTTTTTTTTTGTTTTCTTTTTCTCCTTAGGGATGCAGATCGGTTCCTGTTAGATGCAAGAAATGCCCAAGCTTTAGATGTGGGTTGGCTTGTGTTTGATGTTACTGTGACCAGCAATCACTGGGTAATTAATCCACAGAACAATTTGGGCTTACAGCTCTGTGCAGAAACAGGAGATGGTAAGCATTGAATTTCATATATATTTTGTGGTCCTGGTTTTGATACATGGACAGTTACAGCTTTTTGTGCAATTAAGCCAATACATGTTTTATACTTACAATGTGCGACGTGGCATGTTCCATAATATACTGTAACATATTAACTAGTTGATTGATTCATGAACAAATCTATACAACACACATTGATTGTCAGGCTCTACTGTGGGGATGGAAGAGTAAAGAAGTAGGTATGTTCCTGCTCTCAAGGAGTTTTTAGTCTAGTATTGAAGACCTCTATGCAAACAAATAAAGCTACTGTTTTATGACAACAATAAAAGGAAGCTATATAAAGAGTGCTATGGGTCTATGTCTTGATTGTGTGGTGGTTACACAATTACATAATTTGTAAAAACTTCTAGAACTCTACATTGAAAAAATGGATATTACTGTACGTAAGGTATACCTTAACACTAGACTAAAAAATAACAAAAAAGTAGACATAAAAAATCATGTTAGGGAGACAAAGGACTTCCTAATATACAGAGGGAATGGAGGAGGGCACAGATGGAACAAAAGAGACATAAAAAACACAGAAAATAATATCAAGATAGGTCTTAATGTATTGTAGTATTTGATCAGAGACAATAGGTCTAACCTGTGGGAGGGATCTTTAGGAAATCTTCCTTTTTTTTTCATAAGAAGCTCCAGAAGTTGTTCTTATGGTCACAAGTAGTTGTTGAGCAGCTCTGTGCTGTGCACTTAGCTAGATGCTAGACATAAAATGGGGGGGCATAAATAGGGGGCATACGCAGGGATGGGTTCATGAGGGTTGCAGCTGAGCAAGTCACAAGGTAGTCATTGCAATAATACTATTGCACGCATGTGACTATGCATGAGAAGAGTCCAGTGGACTTACGAGTATGGACCAGTGAGTGACTTTGAGCTAGAGTCTTAAAGATCAGGCAAATGTGAAGGGGAAGAAGTTGGGGCAGGCATTTCAGACAAATGGGACAGAATATACAAAGACCATGGTGAGGGGGGGATCCTCGTACATTCAGTCAGGAGGCTGGGGAAGCCAAGGCCATTTTATTCAGAGCCTTGTTGTCTTTTGGGTCACTTAAGGAATCCAAAATTTTTAAATTCAAATCTGGGCTTCCAGGTCATCTAAAATTATATTTGTCATGTTAGGAGGATAGAATACAATGTATTCAATGATTTGTTAGCTAGATTTGTGCTTTTTAAATATTTGGAAATATACCAAGTGGACCTACACTGTGTTCTTGTCCCATACACGGCAAATGCCAGGGCCAGGCCTACCGATGGTGGTTTTTAAAGGAATGATTAATTAGAGAATGTGCCATATTTAAATTTTACCACTGTTAGTGTTCTTCAGGATCAGGCAACAGATACATTAGTCCTAGAGTCTGTCCCATTGTTCCTCCTTGCCGTATTACATTAAAGCTTTGCTTAATAAACTACAGAGTTAAAAAAAAAAACTGGGTCTGTCTTGGATCTCTTTCACGGATTTCATTACTGTAAGCGACAGGATTTTGTGGTGGCATTGTTTTACCTACAACCAGATTCACAGCCTGAGAATGATAGCATAATCAATGTTGTTACCCCAAGGATTATGTATATGGAATGAGGCTGACAGACACAAATTAAATATATTCCAGTGTTAGTCTAATGAAGTTTTCATGTGCCTCAGATCTTGATCTAGAAAAAGAAAGTTTTAAGTGAATGTGTCATAGACAAGTCTCAGAAATTGCCCTACCCAAGCCAGACTTTTCCATAGGTTTTAATTACAATGCTGACTTTTGCATTTTTCTATACACAATTCAAATATTTTGAATTATAGGTTGTTTTCCACTTATGGCTTTGAGATTATCATTAAGGATTTTCAGAGTTCAAGCACTGTAAATGTAACCTAGAAAAGCACATATTTAAATAATCTCCTAAGAATTCTTACAATGTTAAACTACTGTACATTTATGGTCAGAAATGTGAGTGGGAAATCAGCCCTGTGGGGGTGAGCCAAATTGTTCCTTCCTTGGTATGTGGCCGAAACAAGAAAAATTAAATTAGTGGCATGTGCTTTTCCCCAGTCTTCTTGGGGAAATGCTCGAAATGTCTAACTAAATAGCTCAAGAGACCTGTGAAATACGATCAGCCTGTTTCCTTTTAATCGCCCCCAACCTCCACCATCCCGTGTGAAAATTCATGAATTTTTCTCTTGTTTTATTGATTCTTCACTTGTATTAGTTCTGTTTCCTGTATTATTTATATAATTTAGCATCTATCTTGCTTTCAAGGTATCCTGTTCTAAGAACTACTCTATATTTTGAGTTTTTCTTCTCTCGTTGATTTATTTCTGTTATATTTTAGAAGTAGGTAATTAAAATTATTGTTAGTTACAGGATTTTCTTTTTGAGCCTGAAAGAAACTAACATTTCATTTTTTTGGTGAGGTTTCTAAAGTCTTTATTTAAGTGTTAGGTTGAGGTATGCAGACTTTTGGTGCTTTCCTTTATATTTTTAATATTGTCCTATGTGAAAATATTAAAATGATTGTCGTAGGTAAGCCGGGGTTTGGGTTTTAAACACTTAAAACACATTCTAACCAAAGGTGGAGTGTGTATGGCCTTGAGAAAACACGTGACCCTCCCAGTACCTTAGATTCATTAACTGCAACCTTACAGAGAATGTACATGTGGCATTTCTCTATAACTGGATAACCAGATGCTTCAGCTTATTGTTGCTTCATTCATTACTACTGCTGATGTTCTCATGATAGCATAATATTGCTTCAAACAGAACAGTCAGGCCATCTTTTCTTTGCAGTAATAGATTCTGAGTATGTTTACTTATCAGCAAAAGGAATTGGAAGTCATGAAAGGATTATACTTAGGAAAGTCTGCTTTCAAGTTCATTTGTTGATTACCCATTTATTCATTTGACATAAAATTATTGAGTAACTATACATGTAAGACATCATGTTAAAGGGGACTATAGCCTGGGAGACAGACATATGTAGTTAATTTTAGAAAAAAATAAAGTGTCCTGAATGCTAAAATGAGTGATATAATCAAGACACGATAGGAAAACAGAAGAGAGATGCTTAAATCCAAATGGGACAGAGCCAACAGGGCCATAGAGCTTTTAAGCTAAGTTGGCTGAGTAAGATTCCAATAAACAGAGATGAAGAGGGAGGTAGTTGTGGGGGCATATGGAGTAGTGGTGAGAATAGTGGGAGAGAGCTCATTCCCAGGTGAGGAAACAATGCGCAGAATGGCAACATGGCATGGTATGTTCTGGAGAAAGTCAATAGTCCAGAGTTGGCTAGAACAACATTCATATATAAAATATGAGTGCAGATGCTAGTAGGAAAGTGGTTTGAAACAAATCATGGACAGAACATGAAATCTCATTTGTGTATAATGTATTCTTGTAGCTTGACCACACCTCATAAAAGAATTAGACTTGCTACTTGAGTCAATCACAGTAACACCACTGTGATTTCCTTTTTAAGCGAATATCAGCTTCATGAGGTCATGGGATGCATATTTCTTACTCACGAAGTTGTACCCTTGGTGCTTGGTATAAAGCAGGTTGTAGGTATTAAAATTATGTCTTCAGATCATTGAATGAGTTTGTGATTTAAACAGCTCTTACAGACTACCTGTCACGGAGCATGTCACTCTTATGAAGACATTCCAAACCACAAATTTTGGGTGATTATTAACCAAACCACTTTGGTGTAACACAGGAGCAGAATTTTGTACCACAAACCACAGAATGGTAGTTAAAATAGTTTCAGGCATAAGGTGAGGAGAAAGTCAGGGATGTACATTATTTAATTTTATTTATCCTGCTTCTGCAAGGAAAAAATAGCACAGAGGCCTAAATATATTTTGGAAATTGAAAGTAGCATTTCTCAGAAGACCTGTAGAAAATATGTCAGCTTATGAAATATCCTTTTTAGAAATTTGACAAATACACTGCCATGGATTTGGCAGGAGAGTTTAAGGAGGTTGTGTTGACTTTTTTAATGCAGAATAGATACTTCTTTGAGCTCCATGTGTTTGTTTTCAGCAAAATAAAGCAAACATAGAAGTAAGAATATAAAACAAAAGCCTTACTGCTTCTTCATGGCCAAATCTAGAGATTCCAGACAAGTGGTAGTATCCAGTTGTGCAAAACCAGTTTCAAAGTTCCCAGGTACTTTCTCCGGGTGGTTAAACCTCTGTGACAAGGTGGGTGCTCTTTTTTGTAAAAGCAAATGGGTAGGCTTAGTTCGACTCTCAATTTATTATAAGATTTTCAGTTCCTAAATTATAAAGATACACTTATTATCTGACTGATTAGGTCTTAATTAAGAATGTTAGCAAATCTATGGTAATCATTATTCTTTATACACATGTGCACACAGAGTTTATTCTACAGATAGCAATTTAATCTAGCTTTTGAGATTTGGGCTTTCCTCATCAAACACTATAATTTTCCACTGTTTGATGCTTTATGTAGTTTAAACTTTCCAAGTAAATTCATTCTTTCTTCAAATTTGGGTTTATAGAATAATTTAGAGATGGAAAAACACAGAGTCTTTTTGGGTTCATTAGAATATCTTTTTAAAAACCCTATGTTTTCAGACATTTTAGGTTTGACAATCGTCAGGATGAATTTTGCCAATGAGTTTTTTTCCCTTTCTGTTCAAACCCACTTATATGTCAAGGAAAATTCAATCCGTATGTTTCTGATTCATTTGTTTTCAAGTCATCAAAATGTTGTTTTGTCAGAGTATTGTTTAATGTCCAAGAAACAGTATAAGGCTCCTTTTTAAATAAGACTCTAATATCCATTTTTCTTCAAATGAACTTGTGGCATAATTTTCAAGTATATCAAGGTAAAAATTCAGATTTTGAAGTCAGAGGTTTCAAAGTTTCACTAAGTTTTATAGCTAAATCAAGAAAAACAGATTTCAGAGGTATCCAACTATCAAATTAAATTCCAATATAATGAATG